CTTTGCCTTTGGAATACTTGATCCTAATGATTTACATCTATTAGACGCAAACTTCTTATTATCATTAATTTCATATCTCCAACTTTAACCAATAAATAGTGAATAGAGAAGAAATGAAAAAGAAAACTAGGATTTATGGGCTTCCTATACGCATGCTTACCTAACTTGTGACCTTCTTTATAAATAGGACATTAGAAAATAGTAATTTATTATCGATCCCATTTAACATTTCATCTTGCTACTCATACAATAAATAAAACTAAGGAAATCCTGACGACTATCCTTACGCTGTGTTGTTAAATAGCAAAGTAATCGTTCATTTATTAGGCCAATAACGTAGGTACAAGGTGTGACTCTAAAAGCCATGCAGTTATTCGCTAAGATTTAAAAGAAGTGAAATGAAAGATGCGATAATAGTAAGCTAATAGAGTTCTTGAAACCCAGATTCTCTTGATACACAAATATGCAAATGTTGAAAGCGAGCGACTTCAGGCTAGATTAAATACAACCCCCTCCGCAAAAAATAAGACAGCCATCAAAGTAAAGACAAGAAGGGTTTCTTGAATAATCGCAATATCAGCCATGAAAAAGGAAATTTCGTCAAAACTACAGATTTTATCTTGCATTAGGGAACAAGAGTAATATCAAAGATTGTTTCTTAAGATATGTGAAAAAATAGCTTATCACATCGGCTAAAAGAGAAAAGACTAACTTTATCAAGAAGAAGACCGATTATCGAGGTCTCGGGTGGCACAAACCACTCGTCTGGCGGCATAGGTGGCGCACCAGAGGGACAAAGATTAGTCGAAGCAGATGTAAAAATAGAACCAATCGCCGTAGTTCCACTCCCACTACCACCTCCGGCACTGGCACCAACACAAGCACTAGTACCAGCATTAGAACTTGCATCAGAATTAAGTGAATTGGCCTCAACTGTAACCTGATTTGTGTTTGTAATAGCAATGCTGACAGAAGCGGTAGTGGTGGTTCCAACAGTCTCAGCTTTAGAGCATGTCGCTGATGCAGTATTATCAGCTACAGGCTGAGTGCGATGACCCAATGCACTAAACAAGCCGTCGTCAATGGAAGTAAATGCGGCCTGCACGTTAGTAAGCAGACGCAGACGCTGGGCAGCCAGAGGGTCTGTAGGCATACTCTGGAGTTGTGAGGCCACTGAAATAGCAGAAACAAAGAAAGAGACAACATAGAGCAATATAGACTAATTAGTAATATAGAAGTTAATTGACCTTCGTTTCGCAACTTGGTCATATTAGCAGGAAGACCTTGTCCGGAGTCCATAATAATTTTCAGTCGAACTTGGTAGATTCCCA